TCTGTCAAATTTCATTAAAGCTAATATAGCTTTTGATGATCCAAGAAGCTGGAGACTGAAATGTAACTTAGGTAGTTCTACATCAATAAATCAGAAATATAATTCTCCAACAATGTCAACAACTTTTTTTGTAGTTCTTTATAATCTACAAGCCTGATATAAGGATAAATAATATGCCAACTGCATTTATTTATATCTGATAAACTTGTCAAAGCAAAACTATTCAATGATACTATACAATCAAATGCAGAATATAGTATATCTGCTAAAATTTGTGATATTAGATCTTTATAGATAATTCCAGTAACATTCAAACAAAATACTTCAGGTCTTCAGGATCAAAATTTTACCTTAGACAATATTCAAGTGCAAATAATAAATAATATTCAGCACTATGTGTTTCATTTTCAGACAATATTCAAGTGCATTATCTAAAGATTACAATTACTATTTTAGCACTATGTGTCTTAACCCTGGCTTTTATAATTAATATATATATTTACAAATAATAAATGATTTAGTAAAGTATTCAAAAACTAATTTATATAATAACAATACAATAATATATAAATACGTCTATGAGATTTTTTATTTTTAAAAAATTTGCTTTTTATTAGAAGTATAATCAGAAAAAAGAAATTATATACGATGTATATCGATATATAAATTGTGGTTTGTATATATTTTCCTAATAAAGTTAGTTACTTGCCTAAACAAGTCTTTTTCTCACAAATTGTGATTTATTTGCACTGTAGTCTTAATACTTGTTATAATTTATACAGTAATAAAAATATTGTTTGGATACAAGATTTTTGAATAGTTAGTAAAATGATTAGATTACTTTATTAATAATATATAAAAAATACTCATTATTTTTTCCTTTGATTTTTACTCTAGTAAGTAATTTGCCAAGTTCACAATAACAATTACACTAGTAACAGAAATATCACTATTTGATTCTATAATAGGATCTCCGATTAACAACTTTATAAAAATACAAGTTAAACTGTATCAGTTAGTCTTCTTTATGCGAACTTACTGTTCCAGCTTTTTTATCTAATGGAAAACTTTATGTAGTATTTACAGATAATAATGATCCAAGTTTTAACACGAAGCTTAAATCATCTATAAGAGATATAATCAATAAGCTTATCCAATAAAAAGTTTACTATATTTAAACATGAGAATTTAGCTATTCAGATTTAATTTTTGATCAGTTATTTTACATTAGAAATAACCTTGTTACAGAATTTACTAACTAAAAATTTATTTTATTAATAAGATAAAATGATATCAGATATTAGAGCTTTGAGTGAAGAAACAACGAAACAAACTAAAATACTCGTTATCATTATGTATTGCCCGAGAATAAGAACAGAAATTGATAAATTTGATTGCTACAGCACAGTTGCCGCAAATCAAACAGGACGGTGTTTTTACGATGGAGTAAGTATTAAAAAAAGCCTTTTACGTTCGACTGATGAAGATTTGGTTGGATAGAAAAATGTTATGAGAAAGCTGCTGGTCAAAGCTGACATTAATAAAGTGTTTACGTAGTTATTATGTGATATCGTCAAAAACAGTGTAATGTTGGAATTTGTTATTGAGTGGTTCAAGATTAAATAAAGCCGTTTATTGATTTGCAGAAATAAATTATGATATTGGACTATACACATAAATTTCATTTATTGTCATCAATATGGAATAAAACAAGATGAAAAGACGCATCTGCCAGGACGATCCCCTAGTATGCGGGTCATGTGATAATTTTTGATGATGTCAGCGAATGACCACTTAACACAAAATCAAAGAAAAAATGCTTGGATCTCAAAATCTAGCCTATGAAGTTATCTTGTGTTCTAACAAAAATGTGAAATTTTACTATAAATACATTTTTCGTTTCCATTGTTGATGTTATTAACATTTATCACGTGATCTACATACATGTATTAGGGGATCATCTTCACCAACGCTCAAACGTACATCTTCCATTGTGATTGTGGCAAATATTGGTAAATGATTTTTAATTGGTTACATGTTCACGCTCACGCGACATATGACACAACGCATTTCCAGAATGTCGTGTATGGTGCGTAACAACTAAACTCCAAAATCTAATACGTGAAAATGACAGAATAAGAATTTATTCACGAATTAACTTTGAATTTACTTAGTTTAGTGAATTTCACTTAGGACCGACCGACCCTGATAGTAATTGAGTGAACCAATCATATGATCAAAATTCACGTGAAAGGTGATCATATTTATAAACTTAGGTGAGAAATCCGTCAGTGGGTTAAGTGGATTGATAATTTTACCAATGAGTGGATGCCTGAGGATTTTTGCTCGACCCACATCATTAGATATGTACCATGACACTTTTTTTCCCATCATTCGTTATGTCCAGAGTGACTTTTGTATAAAAATTAAATATTATTACAAGAAATTAACTTATATTTTTATGTAATGAAATTTTACCTCATCGTTTAAATCTGATATTCGTCTAAATTAAGATTCAATTATTATTGATATGAACAGAGAATTTAAAAAGTCACCAAGATTAGAATAAAATTTGATACCACATCGATTCAAGGAATTTCAAGACAAAGTAATCACTATACATGGTAAATTCAGGCAAAAAGTAAATAAATTATTATTCGTTGCTATGTTGCTTATTTTTCTATACGTTGATATTTTTTGTTAATAATGGTAATTCGTGCCTATATTGATCTGTATTTAATTATGTAAAGGATAAGAATTAGAATTAATTCAAGGTGAATTAAGGGTATCCCTTGGTTCTCTTGGCTGTGTTTATAAATTATATTTTTAATTCAATAAAGCGGCAGATTTCAATGGACCTAAATTTTTGTGAAAGAATTTATTGCATACACGACGAACTTTTTGATTTTCACATCAAATATTGATTGACGGCTTTCGTTGTTCTCAATTTTGTACACGTACATACACGCACATGTACATACTTATATGTGCCATTATAACCGACGACGACAACGACAAACAAAACAAAAAAGAAAACAAGAGCTCGTACAGTTCAATGCTAATACCTTTTTTTAGGTTTATATTGATTATATAGTATTCCACTTTTGGACGTGCATGATCGATGTGTTACATGTGCTCATAATTTTTATGATGTCCAAAATTCTTGGGTATTAAAAATGATATTTTTAATCTTTACCGTCTAAATTAAAGAAGTAACTATTGCAATTTGTTTCGCTAGCATTAGTGTTGGAATAAATCAATTAAATAAACAATATCGGGTTACAATGAAAGGAGTAAATAATTATATTATATATGAGTGTTGTTAGTTACGGACTGTTTTTTATCTATCTGAAACGCCGTATTTGGGCGACAAGAAATCTAAAGAAGAAAAATATATAGAAATTTCTCTAATTGATAATTTCCTGTTTGTCCCCGTAATATACGTGTGTACCTATTTATATTTGTGAGAGTGTTGGATGCATTTTACAGATAGGGCGTAAGTAATTAAAGTGTGAGCGAAATGCGAATTTAGTTTATTGAATGCAGATTTAAAGGAATTATTTATATTATATGAATTGAGCAGAGTCATGATCAATTGATTATGCTAAAGTGAGTTCGTAACTAAAGTAGATTGCGTAGGCCAATTTTTGACCATTATTGAGTACACAAACTTGGAAAGATAAATACCCACGAGCGCCGCTTAGATAAGATTCCGTGGGCGTATTCGGACATATCGACACGAACCTTGGAAGAAAGAATTAATAATTGTTGGTTAAAAAATTAATAATAGATGAATAAACAAGAAAAAAGTAACAGAGTGTACACATATCACGCCATATACAAACGCGCGAAACACTTTGACGTTGATTGGCGTAACAGATATTTTTTGCGATGACTTGCTTGATTGCTATTTTCCTACAGAAACGCGTTTTTTAAGGATACGCGTACCCGAGCATCGATTTTTAATTATTTATCCGTTAAAGAATCTCTCTATACATACGCTCCATTCAACCGCATAAATTTACCTAATAAACCCGTCATCACTTCGGTGGTAAGTGGGAAAGATCGATATGAGTGGAACAAACAACAAGAAATTTATGAACGATGTTAGTTTTTTTGTGCGCATTTGTTTTAGGCTTGGCTGCGACACATCACCATTCTTCATCAATAAAGGCTAATCCATACTTAAAATTGTATGTACTTTTCATATTATAATGTGAAGCCAATTTATTCTTAATTACTGCTATTCGGAGAAGAAGCGAGCACATGCTTTAATATTCGGGTGACGATTTTTTTATTCTTTTAAGCTAAAAAAAATTATTAATTCTATTTATATAAAGTATTACTTATTTAGTAAGGTTAGAAGACAAAATAAAAAAAGTAAAATAAGAATACCAAATATACTTTAAAACCATAGACTTTATTGTCCATGTATATACCGATACTGATACATGTACCACTATCAGTATATCATGATTGTTATACTTACATGTATAACGATAATGACTTGGATTTGTACCACTTAAGAAGCAATATACGTACTTAGAATCTCAGGAAAATTATTATTATGTAATAATAATTATAAAATAAACATAAGAGCAGCCTTCCTCCAACTCCCATTCTTCTTTATTATTTTGCTCTCTCTTTCTTTCTTTCTTTCTTCCTTCCTTCCTTCCTTCCTTCCTTCCTTCTTGTCTTTATTTGGTGATATTTATCACATGATTTTTTCTGCCTTACTTTCCAATCTATTCGACCAACCATTGTAATTAACACAACAATCATTATCGTTATCAGTTATTACATTTTTTAATATCTTTAAATATAATTTAGATAGTTTGTATTTTTATTTCTGTAATTTTTTTTTGATATTTATGTCAGAGAGACCATGACGATAATGCTTATAATTTAATATTAAAAACGAACAAAACCAAACCAAAAAAGAAACTATTTCACTTTTTTTTTAGTAAACGCAGAGATTATCATACAAAACAAAAAATAAGATGAATTTAAATATAACAGATACATCGACACTAAAGTATTGCGACTGGCGTATAGAAATTCACAATTGCCACAGCTCTCAACTATGGATTGCAGAGGTGATTTTTTCGACGATGACATACGGAATCTTAACAATATCGGGTGGATTTATTTTCTGGTATCGATTTCGATACATGTGGCAAGGACTATTTGTGGATCACGGAACCGGAATACGTCCATTACCGGTGGATTGTTTGCTGTTTTTTTTTATGCTCGCGTCGTTCGTTAGAACTATTCACTGCGCATTTTTATGGGCGGATATTTATACGGCTTACTGGCAGCGTGAGTTGGGTCAAGAATTTGCCTGGACTTTTTTAAGTTATGGTGCTATTACTTATCTCGTTGGTAAATATCTGTTATGATTATATTTAGTTATTAAATAAGGCTAGCTCGAAATTAATATTTTCTTTTCTTTATTGAAAGGAATAATATATACAATTCCTGTAAATTATACGCGCGGTACATCCGCGCTAATCTCACTACAAAACAGCGGATCAACAACAAACGGGGAGGCAAATAAAAGTGGAGGCTCTAATGCATTGAGTTTTACAACACACGAACTGTTTCTTCCAACTCCAGGTCAATTAAACATATGTCTACTAGTAGGATGCCTGTGGCCATCACTAATCGCATTACCATGTGCAATACTCTCTGGTATATCGCGAGACCGCGGAGATGCCATTATCGCAAACCGATTCACCACAGTACAATACATCGCTGACTTTATTTTTGACATTGTATTTGCACTAATCACCGCATACTACGGCATAAATTTCATGATAATTCTCCGAGGATCACTACAGCAATCCCAACATAAGTCGGGGTCTTCATTCTTTAAGAAAAACAGTAGTCCGACACGAAAAGCTTTTCATCGGCTGAAATACACGATGGCCTATTTGTTTTTCATGTCGAGCTTTACGGGACCGTGGTGGCTCGTTTGGGGAGTCGCGCATCAAAAAATCATCGCCTCGATAAATAATATTAGTATCTTTTTGTCGATAATGTGGTATATTACCGGACCACAACCAATGATTGCCGTTTGTCAGTATGTGCTTGCGAAACGTATTTATCAACAAATTTTCAGTCGAGGTGATACTAAGTTGGCAAGTTCTGGTACAGTTGGCACGAATGGTACAAGTGGTCTTGCATCACCGAAATCGCCTGCTTTTAAGAATTCTGATTCTGCTGATGATAATTTGGTGGTGGTAGTTGACAAAAGGTTCTCGGTCACAGTGGAAATTAATCCTTCGAAGAATTCTAAGGCTAATAATGATAATGAGAATAATATTAATCAATGGGAATTGATGTCGTTACCTCAATTTGAAGGGGGCAATAATGATATTTCGTAACATTTATTTATTTGTTTGTAATTAAAATCATTCAATTTGCATGAGTTTCACCTTTATACATAAATTCCAAACGCATACACACAACAATCACTCACTCATAAAACTTGTACAATAACAAATATTCATTCATTTTCTTATAATTATACATGTATCATTTTTATCTGTAGAGCTCTACAGACTTTTTTGTCTTATAATTCAATTAGGACAGCATAACAAAAAAAATAATCATATAACATATACATGTACGTATGTAATTCATTCTACATAACAAATAAATTTGAAGTCGAATCATTGTTTTTTTAAGCATGTATACACAGACATTTTTACATGTTGTACAAATGGCGTGCAGAAAGACAAAAACAATGGCGTAAAAAAAATGAGATAAACGTCAAGGCAAAACGTTTACTCTTTTTTGTTTTTCTGATTCAATTTACCCCACTCATCTCGTCATACATATAAAACATAATGACATTGATTCATTGTTCATTGTTCATTGTTAGTTATTTGGTCACTTAATACCATATGAGAATATTTTCGTTTTCGTTTTTTGAGCCGGGAAATTGTTTTTACGAAAATGAAATATACGCAATCATATGTCGCATACATGTACATGTACTTGTGCTTGACTCTAAATTCGAACACATTAAAAAATAAATGAAACATGTAAACTAACACATTGTATGAGGCTCTTCGTTTCTCCACTATGAACAATGTACACTACGTAATGCATAAATGTAAACTTAAAGTTGTCCACCCACAAAATAAATTCTAATCATGAGGATTTTTTTAAAATTTTTTAATCATCGTTATAGGCAACCAAATTGCTTTATTTATTATTATTATGCTGAATTAATGTATACCGATACGTATTAATAATAAGTTTATGTAATCGACCGAAAGTTAAGAATATTAAAAATGTCTACATTACAAATAAGTTTATTTTGCTAAATAACCAGAAATCCTTGATTATAAGATTTGTAAGGTTTCATTATTGATATGAATTAAAGGTGCCTTTCAAAACCATATTAATAAATCAAAAATATCTTAAAAACTCGTCACTACATTAAAGAACCCATCGAAACAACTTTTGGATATGAATTAATTTCACAGTTACATATATCAGTGAGAAGATGAATGAGAATTGGATACGCAGTCTAAGTGAACAATAATTTCCATTTGTTCGCGCAAATTTGGATAATAAAGAAAGAGAGGGAGGAATACAAACTATATTTAGGCTAAATATAAAATGTGCATGTATTAATATTAGAAAATATTACAGTTCGGCTTTCCTTGTTGCTCTTTCAAAGCTTACATTATATCGATATTGAATTACGTACACTGCATATCGTTGTGTTATACGTACAATATTGTACATGTACATGGTTATACATGTTCATTATCGTTATTAAAATTCTGTAAATCTACTAGCGCGCGCTAGCGATATTCATTGTTTTTTTTAAACTAAAATATACAGCAAGCCTTGTTAACCAGAACTGGTTAAGCCGGAATTGTTACATTGTGAAGAAATTGCTGATTACAAATTTCTGTATAATTAATACGAACATATACAGTCGTCCCCCTCTATAGTCAACTTCTGTATAATCACTTCCACAAACGTCACGCTGTTTTTGGGCCACTCAATATGTGACCATTAAATAAATCACACTATATAAGCACACCTTCCTATAGTCGCACCATAATCGGGTTCCTATAGAGGGGACGACCGTATCTCGATTAACCAGGTTTACAAGGATAACGACCGTGCGTTATAATGAAGTTTAAATATGTAATAACTTAGTACGTACATGTATAAATCTCGATATAATGAAACTTCCAAAAATTTTCAGGATTGCTTTTGTATTTGAAAAATCATAATAAACCTTAACCAAACACTGGTTGAAAAGATTTGTACCTGGGCAATATCGAAGCAAAAAAAAAATGATAAAATAATACTTCTTCTGTTGCCTCTGGTTTAACGAGATTTGCTGTATACATCTAAAAATGACCAAATTTTTATCGTTATACAATGTAAAAAATGCATCGGAAACATGTATCATTGTAAAGAACGCACATCATTTCTTTGTTAACCAAGAATTAGGAATCTTTCCAGACTCAAAATCAATACTAGATATTTTTTGGCTATGGGCTTATTTTAGTCATACTGTTAAGATGGAATATTATCAAGTCATAATGTGCATAGTATTGCTCAATTTCACTTTTTATGTGATGAAGAATGTTGCTCTACTCGTATGAATTTGTACTTTTCTTATAAGACACTCGATATTTCTTTATTTTTTTAATTTTATGTGGTAGAACCTAAATATTTAAATAAATTGAAAATACCAATATACGTAATTATATTTGGAAATTTTTTTAATAAAGCTTCGACTGGTATAAATTGCATTTGGATGGATTGTCTGTTTTTGTTCGTTTGTAAGAATGCAATTTCGTCACTTCAAATTTTTTTCTAGCCAACACGCTTTTTTATTTCTTTATCTGTTTTAGGATATATCGAAAGTGTAAAGTCTTCAGTTTCCACTTCTCATCAATATCGATGATAGAGTTGATAAAGTGCTCTTCAGCAGTTGGTCTGTTTTCTCAATAATAAAAATGCACCATCAGCAACACTGTTTAGTATCTTAGGTCATACTTCATTTAGCACACCAAATAAATATCTGCAGCTTGAATGTATGGTTTTCATCTGAACTGACATAAGGAATTCTCCGCAAATTTCTTAGCATTAGTGCCCGATATCGATATTAACGTTAACATATTTTCGGAGTAAAGTCACATATCATCGATCGTCATGTACATATTCCATAACGATAATAATTGAACTTACCGCTAACGCTATAAAATATACTGTACTTTAGAGCAATCAAACACTATTTCTAAGATACTTAATTCATGATTCTGCTGAAATTTTGTCATATTTTGTCGCATTTTGTTAGTATAATTTTATGATTCCACCTGTGAATTGGCACGTCCAACCAGATTTTTTATAAAATGTTCCAAAATCTTTTGGAAGATATTCAAAATTAAAGAGATCTATTCAAACGTTTCTCTAATTTTCGTGCGTTCTTTTTTAGTTCGTTATGGATACCAGAATTACTAAATTTGATAAAATCTTAATACCAATTTTCAATTAGTTTTTATCAGACTTAGATCCTGTTAAATATTTCTAAATAATAATGTTTAATTGAAAAAACTGGTATTTAATTTATAATACTTAAATTAGTAGATTATAATATTTGCTATAAACATACAGTGGCAATCAGAAATAATGCAACGACATCAAAATTTATTAATTAAACATAGTAAAATGCGGATTATTTTCTTTATATAAAGTTTTCAATTTTACTAATAAATATTTTTTATATAA